TAAGGAAGCATATCATTGAGGAGTTAGTTTGCATGACCATCTAGAAAAACACTAACTAGCCATTACTCCGATCCCTTTAAGGACCCCAGGAAAAGCAGGGAGGGGCGTAGTTCAACATGGCGCCGAGTAGGGAGTTTAAGGCCTGCGTAGATGACTGTGGCCTTCTGGATGTCGACTTTAGTGGTCCGAGATTTACTTGGCAGCGGGGATCTCTGCGCCAACGTCTAGATCGAGCTCTATGCAACTCGGCTTGGCTGCATAACTTCCCTGAGACTAACACACTTCATCTCCCAAGGATCAAATCGGACCATCGGGCTATTCTTACTTGCTGTGACCATGCTCGTAATAAGGACCGTTCTCGCAAGCCATTTCGTTTCCTAGCGCCTTGGTTACTCCATGATGATTTCCCACGTGTCTTGCAGGAAGGGTGGTCGGCAGGTCCAGAGTACAGGGAGGCAGTGGCAGGCCTTACCTCAGTGTTGAGTCAATGGAACCGGGAAGTGTATGGTAATATTTTGGCGAAGAAGAGAAAGCTGGTGAATCAGTTGCAGAAGCTAGAAGAGCGGAACGAGCAATCACCCTCCCCGGCCAGCCTTCATATGGAGGAGAGCACTCGGGCTGAACTGATGGAGGTGCTCCACCATGAACAGATTATGTGGTATCAGAAGTCCAGGGCGCAGTGGTTCGTACACGGTGACAGCAACACTAGGTTCTTTCATTTGGCTACCCTCAAGCGCCGATGTAGGAATCGTATTAGGAGACTCAAATCAGCAGATAATCAATGGGTTGAAGACCCCATCCAGCTGCAAGGTATGATTCGCGAGTTCTATATGGACTTGTACCTCGAGGTGGCAGAGGAGGTGTCCACTCTCCAGGACTCGTTCCCTCTGCTGGAAGGGGACCTCAGTTTGGTTGATAGTGAGCTCCGGATGGATGAGATCTTAGATGCGCTTAAGTCCATGGGTGCCCTGAAGGCACCAGGGAAAGACGGTTATCAGCCTCTCTTCTTCCAAAAGTGTTGGACGACGGTGGGACAAAAGTTGGTTCGCTTCTTGACTGACTGCTTCAGGGAACCGGAGATTGTGGCGACAGTTAACAAGACTCTACTGGTGCTCATTCCCAAGAGCTCCCAGCCTGAGAGAGTCTCTGATTTCAGGCCCATCAGCCTGTGTAATGTCGCCTACAAGACCTTTTCCAAATGCCTGGCCAACCGGTTGAAGCCTCTGATGACACAGCTTGTGGGCCCCAACCAGACGAGCTTTGTTCCTGGGAGACACATACAGGACAACATCATCATCTTACAAGAAGTTGTTCACTCGATGCACACGAGGAGAAGTGGCAGGGGGCAAATGGTGCTTAAAATCGACCTCGCCAAAGCCTACGACCGCCTCTGTTGGAGTTTCATTGAGGAAACTATGAATTGCGCGGGGCTGCCGCCAGCTTTTGTTCGAGCTTTGATGGGGTGCATTACCAGCACATCTATGGAGATCCTGTGGGAGGGCTCGGCGATGGAGAGGTTTGTACCGACAAGAGGGATTCGGCAGGGATGTCCCCTGTCTCCGTACTTATTAACCCTCTGCATAGAAAGACTCAGCCATCTAATCGAGGAGGCAGTTGAGAATGGGAGGTGGAAGCCGATACAGCTTGTGCGCGGAGGTACCAAAATATCGCACAGTTTTTTTGCTGACGATCTTGTTCTTTTTTGCAGAGGCCTCGCAAGAGCAGGTGAGCGTTATCCTTCAATGCCTCGACCGCTTTTGTGCAGCGTCTGGGGAGCTAGTGAGCAAAGAGAAGTCCCGTGTCTACTTTTCCAGGAATGTCAGGAGGGACCAAAGCCGGCAGTTGAGCAATGGACTCGTCATCCCGATGACGCAAGACTTGGGAAGGTATTTGGGGGTCCCGGTGTTACATGGCAGGGTGACGAGGCAAACTTACCAGTACCTCATAGACCGGGTGGATCAAAGACTTGCGGGATGGAAAGCGAATAATCGTTTGCTTGCTGGCCGCGTGACCCTTGCGTTGACAGTGCTAAATGCCATCCCGTCGTATGTGATGCAAACGTCGGTCTTACCAGCCTCCATTTGTGACTACATCGACAAGCGCATTCGTGGGTTCATCTGGGGCTCGCAACAGGGGCACCGACGGGTTCACCTCATTGACTGGGATACGATCTGTCGACCCAAAGACCAGGGCGGACTCGGCCTGCGCAGTGCCCGTGATTTAAATAATGCTTATCTCGTCAAGCTTGCTTGGAATATTCTTAAGAACCCAGATGAGCTTTGGGTACGGATCCTTACGGAGAAGTACCTGAAGGAGGGCCCTAATGGTGTTGTTAGTGCTCGCAGGAAGACGGGGCACTCGGTACTGTGGAGGGGTATTCGTCGCGTTTGGAGGCTAATGGACGGGGGAGCTCGCTGGAGTGTCCGAGATGGCAAGACCACGCATTTCTAGGAGGCGGCCTGGGTGGACAGTGGGACGGTTCTGGCGGACCACATCACCAACGTCGATGACCAATTCCCTGCCAATGCTTGCGTGGCCGACATGGTGACAAGTGAAGGTGAGTGGAGTTTGGCTTCTTTTGAGCAATATTTACCACCTGAAGTGATTTTGCAGGTTGTGGGCATGCCCATTCCGAGGGAGGAGCTTGGCAATGATGAACTGGTGTGGGGGCTCGAGCAAAGGGGACATTTCTCCCTCAAGTCGGCGTACAGGATGGTGGCGGAGATAGATGGCAACGAGGCTAGCACTACGTGGAGGAAGCTGTGGAGGTGGCCAGGCCCCAACCGCGTCCGCCATTTCCTCTGGCTCGCAGCTCATGGCCGGCTGCTGACCAACGCGGAGCGCGCACGTCGCCACTTCGCCGACCGCACAGACTGCCCACGGTGTTGCGCTGAGGAAGAGAGTCTCGACCACGTTCTTCGACGATGCAGCTTTGCGCAAGAGGTTTGGGCGATAACCTTGCCGTCCTTGATCATACCAAATGACACCCGGAACTTCCACGATTGGTTCACAGAGTCAGTCAAGTGCCCCCAAAACCAGGTTCGCTTTGGCTTCACTTGCTGGTTTCTTTGGCGTGCTCGGAATGGTTTCATCTTTTCAGACATTGTAGAAGCTCCCAACAAGTTAGCGAAAAAGATCCTAGCCTGGGAGGTCGTTGCTCAGCAAAGTAGCACCGCGGAACACAATCTTACACTGGGGAGGTCGGGGTCGCGTCGAGACATGGCCATGGGGTGGAGACCGGCCCCGACAGGGTGGATCACAGTAAACTCAGATGTCTCGCTTCTGCGACCGTCTGAGTCTACCGCGGCAGGAGGAGCGCTTAGAGACTGGCAGGGTCGCTTGTTGGCAGCCTATACGATGAACCTGGGAAGATGTTCCATCACCCGAGCCGAAATTTGGGGCGCACTGAAGGGACTGGAGCTAGCCTGGGAGGCTGGTCATCGCAAGGTGGAGTTGCAGCTTGACTCCAAGGCTGCCATAGCCCTGCTACTGGACACTGGTCAGCACTGTCACCAGCACGCCAATCTCACCATTCGTTTTCAGGATATGCTTCGTCGAGATTGGGAAGTTCGTGTCACACATATATATAGAGAGGCCAATTTTTTGGCTGGTTGTCTTGCCCACAAGGGACATTTGGTGTCTCCGGGAACTCATATGATCGATGTTTCGGACCCGGATGTTTGTCGGTGGGCCTTTTTTGACTCTGTTGGTGGTTTTACCATTCGATCGATTGTTGAATAAGATTTCAGGGTGCTAGGCACCCGGTTTTTACCAAAAATAGTATCTTATTTATACTACTACTATTATGGGAAACAAGAAAACTAATCTTGTGTTATAGGCATCCTTCTTAGGCGTCTATATGAGGATTAGCTACCCTTATATGCACGACTAAGAATTATGCTTGATTCTTAGATTATCAATTTTAAAGACTATGGGTATGTTTGTAGAAGCCCACAATTAACTATGTGATATCCTAACTTCCTTGTTCTTCATTGATTAGGTGATGGTATGAAGCGAAAGCACGCATTAGCTAGTCAAATCTCTATTACATAAAGCGCATGCATGGGTAGTGAGTCACCAAAGAGGAAGGGATAGGGCATCATAGATGATGTAAGGAAGCATATCATTAAGGAGTTAGTTTGCATGACCATCTAGAAAAACACTAACTAGCCATTACTCCGATCCCTTTAACTTCACCACCAACTAGACCGACCCCGCCGTTCGCTCCTACTCCGACGTCCTCTGCACCCCCCCCCCCACCTATCCTAAACTCCGCATCATCTCCGACATCGACCTTAACCACGACGACATCGCCGGGTACCTCCCCAACAAGCTCGGCCTCCTCACAGATCAGGCTCTCTACCACACCAACTCTAATCGGTTCTGCATTATCGTCCCCAAGTTGTTCCGCAAGTTCAAGCTCCTTCACGAGCTCGGCATCAGCAACAATCCCTTTGTCGAAGAGTTCCCACCGTCGTCGTTTCGCTCCCTTCCCTGAAATTTCTACATCTAAGATTCAACAAATTCGAAGGCTTAGTCCCTTCCGAGCTCTTCGAGAAACCCTTGGATGCTCAATTTTTGAATGATAATCGGTTCACCCATCGAGTGTTGGGAAGGATTGACGATTGGTGAGGGAGCCAACATTCTTGTCAGTAGTGGTGTGAGCCTCGGTGGCAGAGGAGAGTGCCGGAGCGGCGGCAGAATGGGAAGGATTGAAACGCCACAAAAAGAATGGTAAGATGTGATTTTTTGAGGAGAGAAGACCATAAATTTGTTTTTAATTTTTTTATTAAAAATGGAAAAATAAATAGTAATTGTTGGAAAATATAAATTTTTTAAGTGAAAGGTGATGACTTGGCGGTGACGTGACGCGTTAACCGTTAGTTAACGCGTTTGACCGTCCAAGATAACGGTCAATTTTCGGGTTTGGGCAATTTCATTACTTTGGTGTATAGTTCAGGTCATAATGTTATAGATTGAAAAGATTGGTCAGGATGTTTATTATGTGAAAAGTTCAGGCAATACAAATATATTAACCCTTAAAAAAACCTGTGGAATAAGATCCTAGGATCTCCTAGGATATTTGTCACTCCATACTACATCATTTTTTGGCGCCGTTGCCGGAGAATTTTTTATAGTAATCGAAAGAAGCTAACCTCTTGTGCTTGATTTTCATTTCATAAAAAAAAGAAAATATTACGCTTTAGTTGGTTTTGTTTAGCAAGATTCATACTCGAGGTAGCCAACAAGACGTGATACCAAAAGGAAGTAAGAAAGATGAGCCAAAGAGGATCGAAGGTCGAAGGAAGCAACACCAATCCTCCTTCATGTCATTTTTCTCAACAAAATATCTATGTCGATTTGTATGATGAAGAAGTGGATCCAAAAGACTAAAAGCTAATGAGGGAAAAGTATGGGAATTACATAATTGTATAAGAATCGGAGCAAGCTTTTTCTTTCCTCCAATCAAGACACCAGATCAAGTCATAACCTCTTCGGAGTATCGATACTAGTACCAATCATGAAGGATCAAAACAACTGCTAGAAAATGTTCAAATCATCGAGGAGGCTTCAGAAGCCAATAAAGGAAGTTCCAATGAAGTGTGTGAAGGTTTTGAAGAGAACAACGTGCAAGAAGGGCTTACAGAGCATGAAGATTTCGTGGACCATGGAGAACATGAAGATCATCCCAATGCCAACACATATGATGAGGAAGAAGATGGAGAGATCAAGGACCACGGAGATGAGAATCAACATGAGGCCAACGAATTTGAAAGAGAAGAAGATGCATTTATAACTCAATCTTTGGATGAAGAAGAAGAAGAAGAAGAAGAAGGCTAGAGACTCCCTCAAGAAGATGCAAAGGATGAAAAAAAAAAAACTACTCACAACTCGATGAAAGCATCTTACAAGCAATGGAGACCATGATCGAGCATCTTCAACCTATCCAAAAAGGATGATCAACCTATCAAGAAGCCTTAAGAAGAAGATTTTATATAAACCAAAGGTTTGATGATGAAGATGATGATCTTACAAGTTCTGAATAAGGAGAGGACGAGATACAGGCTCTACGAACAACATTGGAGGAAGAAGGATGCTTTATTGAAGAACTGACATTAATCCAAACTTTCTTGGATTCATGGGAAGAAGTTGAAGGCTTTACACTACTTGAAGGCTTTGAACACTTTCAATATGAATCCAATAATACTCCACCTACCAAAGCATCCACCATTGGAAACATCCAGGAGGAAGAGTTAGAGAATGATGACCCCCATGCACCTCCTTTTCAAAGTTCAACAAAACCCTAGGAATCGACCATTGAAGAAAATATCATAGAGGAGAAGTCAAACAAGGGTGATCAAACCGAACTGGAAAAAGAAGGAAAGGAGCCACTAGAGGAACACCCATCTTCACCAAATGCTTCACAAACGAACAAGGATGCTATTAGGTTGTCTTGACATAATCTAACAACTTCTAGTTGATTGCTTCATCATTGGACCACTCATTCTTTGTGAAAACTCCTTAAACTTCTCTTGATAGCTCATTTGGTCCTCTAGAGTACTTCAATGCTTGATCCAATCTTCCTTAGGTTGCTTTGTACCTTCAAAACCATGAAAGTATACCAAAAATAGTACAAGAACATCGCCTAGGTCTATTAAAAGCTCATTGATCAAATAATTGTGATTTAGACAAGACATATCATTGAAATTACTAAAGATGTTTCAATAGAAGGAGATCATGTATCAAAGAATGAGAGTGATAAACACTATAAATTACATTCTCATATTTAATTTGCATGAAATGTTTGTTATACTACACTAAATTATCCTGCAAAAAAGTTAGGCCTATCTAATAAAATGAGCTCATTTACTAACATTTAATAATATATTAGTATTCCCACAAAAAAAAAGTATTAGTATAAAGGTAGCAAATGAATTGGTTTCATTGATTAGTGGACGTATTAAATGAATTCGTGAATTCTTGAATTGCATTCGTGCATTTATGAGTCAAAGTGACATCTAAGTTTTGGACCATTATAAAAATTTCAAAAATTTAGGTACTGGAATGTCATTATAAAAAAATCAGGTATCACAATGTAAACTTTTAAGAAGAATTATTATTAGGTATCAAATTGTAAAATGTAAAATATATGAAAACTAAATTCTAATTTTTTTAACAATCCATTAAATCCAATTTATGCATCTATCAATCGAATTGAATTTGTACTTAATAGTTTGATTAGTTTGATTTTTTAGTTGATAAATTAGATTCCATTAGTGAATTTGATTCAAATTATTGAGTCTATTTAGCTATATTAAACTTTTTCTGGAGGGAATCTGGAAACCTCTAGTCTCTCAGTTCGATCCTGCGAGAGGGCAACCGTTCTTTGTTTCTTTTTTTCTGGGAAAAAAAAATTGGCAGCAGCAAGCGAGGCAACTATAAAAAAAAATATCAAGCAAAGCTGCAGCGGCATCCTCCTGCCTTGCCCTCCAGAACCTTACATCAGTGAAACCCGGTGGATTCGATGGATTCCGAAATGATGGAGACGGAGTCTCCCATCGCCACCGCCACCGCCACAGCCACAGCAGCGCCGGTTAATCCTTCCGGCGACATCCGAGAGCTCTTCGCATTGGCCCGACAGCTCATCAATCAAGGCAAACCTTCCCAGGCCCTTCAAGTGGTATGTACACGCCTTAACTTCATCTCCCATTTCTAGCTATCGCTTTACCCCAATCCTCGCCACCTCTCGAAGTTTCCAGAACCATCCTCGTCGGATTCTGCTAACGATCGCCGGAGCTCCGGTTTCGATTGCTCTATTTGCCCAATCTTGAAGCTTTCTGTCGAACATGATCTGAATCGAAAAAAGAAAACTCACCTGATTCCTCGCTCTTTTAGGGTTCAAGAAACATTGTGAATTTATGATCCTTGAAGCTCTGCCAGTAACAAATTTGGGGGTTTTTCCTCTGCTGATTTGCCTAATCCGTTCAGACTCTTGTTTTCTATGGTGACGGAGTCGCTTCTGTTCTAGCTTTCCTTTTCCTGAAATTAGCACTGTTTAAGACCATAGATTTTGTGTCAAGAGAAGAGCTTTATCCTAATTGTTTTCAATTTCTATAGGTGATGGCAGCTGCCCGAAACCAAGGTGGAGACCAAGCAATGTTCCAGTCACTGAGTCGTGCTCGTGATCTCTACAGAACCAGGCTACAAGAGAGCAGCAACTCCATTGATCAGCTGGCTACTCTGTTTGCCGAGTGTGCAATTGCAGGAACCGAGTCTTCCCAATCCGCCAATGACCATCCGATGCAGCACAACCGATGTAGCGAATCCGGTGGCATTGGACAGGATGTCCATGAGAACTCCATACTTGCAGAAACCGGAAGAAATCAGATAGTCCTGGATGCATTTGCTGATGGGAGCAGCTTCATCTGCTTACAATGTGGTGGTCTTGTTAGTGTGAATCGCAGAGACGAGCACTTAACCTACTGGTGTGGCAACTGATGATATATACGATCTCTGGCTTTTTCCTACTTCCCAGGAATGAACGTTTACAAAGGGGCAAAGCTACAATGACCTCTCTTCCTCTATTACTGAATCTGATGTGCATTACATTGGTATGTTGACTGCCTCCGCTTGAGATTTCGGAGGCCCCTGAGCTGCCTTAAGAATGGAGTGTATAGAATAGCAGGAATGTGTCAACTTGTATGCTAGTTGCAGCCCTTCTTGAGCAGCTGCTGGAACGCAGAATTTGGGCTTGGAGTCCGTGTGTTTGTGTATACCATAGGCTACCTTCCAGGTACTTAAGAGTGCTTCAAATTTTGCCAGTTCCTTTGGTTCTCTCTTTCCACTGAAGATCCCTTCCCTAGATTTCTGTACAAATAAGGATTTGAAGAGATTTGTAGAGGTCCTGAATTCCTCATAATAATCTATCGAAAATAATATTATGGGTCATGGCGTGTATTCACATAAAAGTTTGGTTGTAATTGGTGTGCTACTACATTCCATATAATGATGCAGAACAAGTAGAAGCAGTGGATCCAAGTTTTGTGCAAGGGTTAAATTGCAATGTTAGTAACATTACAATGTCATTTTAACCAAGTCCCAGTAAATTACAATTTGCAGTGAACATTTCCTTGCACTGGAACTGGGTGTCCTAACTAGAGCCATCCGATCCCGTTAGAAGCAAGGATTGATAAATCTTATATTGAATGCTAAATTGGTAAGCGATATTTAGTGATATGAAACAGTTGAATCATAGATTTAGTATAAAATATCTTACTAGTGATGGTATTTCAATCCTTGGTTAGAAGTAGGTGTCAACTCAGAGGGGACTTGGTGTACAGAGACTTAATTGTCAAAATGATGTGGCACAAGGATTAATTGTTACATTTCTAAATCATAAACGAACCTCAAACAAAGTAGGTTACAAGGTAATACATGCTTAAGTTAATTTCCCTTTTATACATAAGATGATGGCATATATTGTTGTCTTCTTACATATACACACTCCTAATACAAATCCCTGTTCATCCAAAGAATCCCCTATTCCAATCTTCGCTTATCAACTTCAGTGCTTTACACACTAAAATAATGGACAAATTAGGTAGAGATACAAAAAGAAAAAAGAACACTTCACCTAGTAATAGGACCAAAAACAAACTAAAGCAGAGATCTTCTTCTTCCTCCTACATTTTTTGTGCAGACATCCTGATGAGATTGTTTCCCTTCAGGAAGTGTTGGGTTATTGAACTGAGTACTAGGTCTATTTGGCAGAACATTCGCCAGTGGAACAGCGTTTTCCTCGGATCTTCATTAGATATGACCATGGGGCAGCATCAACAAACCACTGCTTTACAAAGATGCTCCCCAGCAGCATTACAAGTATCCAACCAGCAAAGGAAAACCCTAGCTTCCTTTCAAAATCAACCCGTCCTTCTCAGCAACAAGCATAGCTCGCTCCCTCTGTCGTATGTCAGAACATTGAGTCAACATTTTGAACGAGAGAAGTGTGGAAATGGAATGGAGAGGCATTTTGAAGAAAAGATTACCTCCTATAGAAGTGGATCACAACCATACTTATAGCTCTAAGATGGAGAGATTATGCTGAGAGTAACCCGAGTTGCTCACAGCTCATGACACGCGTGTTCGGTACTGTACACGATGCTTTGTCCTTGTAATCGTCCCGTCACTGAGCCTGATTGTCTCAGATAGCCGCCATGGCTTCTGCCATTTCCACTTGAATTGCAAGAGCCACCGGTGATGGCTTCTCTTCCATCTCCATAGCTTCCCACCTTGACCTGCAACTGCTAGTTTTCTCACTGATGCTTGGCCAAGTGGTACCATCTGCAAACATCAGCAGAAAGTTATATATGCTGGTGCTAACCCTTAATGTAGGTTGTTGGTAAATTGCTGGCACTCTTTTGAAAATTTGATGTAGTTTGGAGGGTACTAAGGCAATCTGCCAGATCTATAAATGGGTTCTGGGTTAGATGAGCTTCAAACGGGTGGAGTTGGTTTGGGTTGATAATTGCCATCTATAGTTGTAAGATTCAAGTGGGGAAATGAAAGAAAGATACTAACTTTTCTCGACTGATCTATAAACGCTACTGATTCTCGGACTGGGCCGTTCACTATTCCTGGTGTATATTTTAGCTGCTTCTGTGCTGGCACAGATACTGGAGACAAGGGACTGCTCATCATTTCATCAGCATCGTGTTTTAGTGAATTGGGTGGGGTCCCTTGTTCATGGCCAGCCTGAAAAATGGTCGTCATTAGAAATCGTTAACCGACTTGGGCTCATTAGTCTCGTAGGGAAATCATGAATGCTTCGATATTAGCCCTACCGAAGCTGCTGTAGCCAAAGCAATAGCAACAGATTCCTCTCTCAACCTTAACTCCTTCTCAATTTCCTTTCTTCGAGTTTCGCTTTGTCGTAATAGGTTCACAAGTTCTTTGAATTGTTCCTTAATTTCCTTGATCTCCATATCCTTCTCCCACATTTGGCACCTGTTATTAGACATCCAAACATTTTAATGAGTGGTTCATTCTCATGTTACGTCAAAGAAGATGCTTAGACGCATGAAACTTGAAATATATGGCATCCATGGTCCAGAAAGATCGAGCACCTAGCATCCCCCAGAGAGTGGAACATGTGCTGAAGTAAGCTCTTTGCCTCTCCCATGGAGCGCAATTGGTTCCAACGCCCACGGGAGGTCAAGCTGCGCTCACGCTCTTCTGCTTCTGAAAGTTGTGAAGCCATAGCCACGAGAGAGTTAGATGATATGCTCAACATGCTCTCGAGTGAGGCTATTCTGGACATTCTGGCGTTTGGTGACATGGATGTAGCCCTGGAGAAAGAAGAATTTTGTTCAATATACTTGAGCATTTATTTTCAGTCTTCAATGTAATCACTTCAATAAACATTGTACCTAGCAAATCCGTTCTTTCCCTTTGGAGGGGTTATTCCTTTTGAAGCTAGCTCATCCACCTGTCTCAACACAGCCAGCTCTTCGCCTAATGCTGCTCGCCTGAATATGAACAGTACATTGAGATTGAGCTTATGAATTAGACGATCCAACAATCTAATTGCTGGCTATAGAATGATTTCTTACACTTGGCTTTGCTTCTCATACTCGAAACGAACTTCATGAACATTCACCATGACTTCTAGCTCATGATCAAGCCATCTATGTAGAGATTTTTCATTACTCTGCAATAGAGAGTTTCAAATGTCAAAAATTGAAAGAAGTCTCCATGGATCATGGATAAGTAAATTAATTTCCTTGGCAAAAGAAAAGATGTACAAAGTACCTGTCCATTGGTTACATGTCCATTGGAAAGACCTGGCAAATGTAATATGACCAGGTCATTTTGTTTGGAAGAATAAGAAGAAAGCTATTGAAAAGAGTTGTTACAGTTAAGCAACCTGTAATGAACAAGTACGAAAAATAATTGGTTTTTACCATTGTCACGTGGAGAAGACTTTCGGCCTTCAAGCAATTCCTTTAACCTCTTGGTAGCAACAGCAGCTTCCTCTGTTTTCCTTTGCAGAACCTGAAAAATGCAACATTTTTCTTTGTCAAACAGCAGAACTTACAGTCACAATATTTTCTAATTTTGATACAGCAAATTATCGGGGCATCGTAAGATTGGAAGAGGCTCACCATTTTCTGGCGCTGGTTTATGGCTTGTAGCTTATGCCTTTCATATTCATTTCTTCTCCCCTCTTTGCGTAGCTGCAAAAGGAAAGTATATACGATCAATGAAAGGGGCAAAAGCATCTACAAACTGCTTTGGAGCCAAATATATCTGAGAACTACACACGCCAAAACCCAAACAACCTTCTGTACTGATCAAATGCTTTATATGTAAATTTAGCAGCAGTATATTCACAAGTGATGCTTTGAAATCATACCTGAAGCAACTCCTTTTCCCTAGATGCTTTCCATTGTCGAAATTGTTCAGCCTCTTGCTTCATTCTGTGTTGCAATTGAACCTGTGCAAGCAAGAAAGAAAGGGTACAGAAAGAGTAGGCAAAAGCAAATGCAAATGCCACAAAAATAGTACTTTGCGCCTCCGAATAATTTAAGGCGTCTATCTAACCTTCTGGGCCTTTATAGATTGTATCTCTTCTTGCAATTTCTTTGCCGCTTCATCACTTTTTTGCTTCTGCTTCAAAAGCTGGACCTGGCTCTCCTGTTTTTTCTTCAGATCCAGAATCTGGAAATGCAGCAAATTACAAAGCCTGTTAACAACTTCAACACGAAATGGCTCAAAACTATCTGAAACAAAAGTTATACCAACCTGTGTCTCTAATGTCTTCAGTTTCTGGGAGTGAGCATCTTGCAATTTCTGCGCGTGCCCATCTGAACCAGCTGAGAGATTTTCAATTTCAGCAAGCAAACGGTCTCGTTCTTGCTGCAGTCAAATAAGCAGTCTGATAAAATGAAACATGACTAGCAAGATAAAACAATAAAAAAAATTGTAGGTGCAATCTTAAACCTGCACAACTCTTTTCTCATCCTCCATTTCCATGATTTTCTTGCCAAAGTGTTGCTTGAGTGCTGCAGTGTCGAAACCTCCAACAAGTTTCATCTCCGACTGCTCATAAATTTAAGATAACATCAGAATAAAACACTGCGCAAACATCAAGTGGAATTCCTGACTACTGAGATTAGATCTAGATGTACAAGGATCAACATGTAATCATGTTTCAGCATTAAGTATCACCTGGAAAAGAAAAACATACCTCTTTCTCTTCCAAGCGCCGGTTCAACTCATGCAGCTCCTTGTCCATTGTGCTTTGGAGAAGCGTGTGCTCCCATTCTTTAGCTACTTCTTCATCAATTTCCCTAGCATCGCTCTGTACTGTTTCAACCATTTGATAGTCTGATGCTTCTAGACTGCATAAGCTCCTTTTGAGTCCCTCACCTTTCACAGAACATATAATAGTGTCCTGATAGAAAGAAAAAATTAAATCTCTACATTCAATCCTACAGCCTACCTAATGTTACATACGTTGGTTTTAATCAAATTAAAAGCAAGCTTAATAATAAAAGAGCCATTCTAGAAGAAAATAAGGAGTTCATAACATACTTGAGCATCTATTTCACGGGGATCTACAGCAGCACACCTGCTGCGATATACATGAAGCTCTCTACAAAGGTCTTCATTCGTAGCTTCAAGCCATGCAATTCTTTCCTTGAGAACCTACAACGTGAGAGACCTTTTAGAAAATGATAAGTAATACAAGATAGTTTAGATCATCATTCAAACTTACCTGAACTTCATCGGATGAAAATCCTCCACGGGCGCAAAGTTCTGCCTGAAGATACTCCAGCTGTTGCCGCATTTTGAGCATCTCACTTGACATAGGATCTCTATTGACCTGGAAAAAAAAATAGAAAAAAAGCAAAAAGGCTGTTCAATGATAGGTTCGGTACAAACAATAGATTGCATTTCCTAAATTATTGCCCAGGTACTTACAATAGGCTTGTTTTGAATATTCCGAGCACGATTTGCATACTTTAGAGTGTTCAGGGTTTCCTCCGCATTTATATCAGCAGGGCTAATGCAAGCTGGGCAAAGCAAGCGATCCATTTTCACAATGTTAGAGAAATGAGCATTAAAAAATAAGTGGTAGAGGAATAAGAAAACAGTTGCATGCCAAACTACCTATCATGCAAGTTCTGCTGTTGCCGCCAAGTGAGTCCTGCAAAAGCCGAGTCAATTTACTGTCCCGATAAGGAACATGAAGACCTTCTTTTCGCTTTTTCTCATCCCCAAGTGCGCTTATCACGTTGCCAAGTGCCAAAAGCCCCTTGTTGATGTGAATGCCTGATTATATTAATAGAACAAAAAAAAGTTAAGATAAAAGTTCTAACTAGAACAAGAACTTCTAACTTCTAAGACAATCAAAATTAATAATGCAAAAACCAACCTTCCTTGAAACGCAAGCCATCTGAACCAGTCCTTTTAGCCCTCTCGGATCCTGCTAGATCTACCAAATGCAACTTAGCACAAAGATACTCATCGTTCATCCCGTCGTTAGGACTCCCATCTCCAGCAAAGAGTGGGTTGGTTTTCCGCATTTGCTCTACTGTGATGGTGAAAATTGCATGGGAACGGCTACACCAACAAGAAGTGAAAACAATTGCTCCAAATGATTAGAACCAGGCATGTGAACATCACCAATCAAAGAGATATACATGTTAGTCCTAGTCATCTCTTACTACCTTGTGGGTCTTAGACTTAATGTGAAAGCCATGTATTGTACTCAGTATAGGAATAAATTACCTTGATTGGTTGTTCATATTTGTACTCCCAGTTGCCCTGCTCAATGATCCTTGCTCAAGGTAAGCGGCCATTTCCTTGAAACTGCCAACAGTGACTTCCGTGGATCCTGCTAGCGTTATCACCCCGTTTGAAGATTCTCGAATTTGTATTGGTGGCTTTCCTGGCAAGTTTGCTTTTCCCGAGTGTCCATTGGGAGATTCTGCTTTGTGCAGACACGAGGGATCCAGCAAGTCTCTCACTTCTTCTTTCAGAATCTTTCACACAATAGAAGAACACTCTCTCTGTTAGATACACAGAAATAGGGAGACAGGAGAATTTCGGGGAGGAAGGCATCACAGAACTTCATCACAGTTTCTACCAAGAAAAAAAAAAGAACATCACAGACCTCGATGAAGGAAACATGGAGCTGGAATTCGGTTTGATGCTTCAAAGTCTCGATTTTTCCAAACAGAACACTCATCACTTGAGGAATTATTCCAGCTTGGTAACCATCTTTGAATCCTGTACCCATTGTATATGTCTTTCCGGATCCCGTCTGCAAATACATACATTCAAACGATCGAACAGAAGAACAATGACACAGACGAACAAATAAAGAGAGTATTTCCAATACAAAATCAAACGTCTGATTACCTACCTGACCATAGGCAAGGACTGTAGCATTGTAACCCTGGAACAAGCCATCAACCAATGGAGCAACACATTCCTCGAACATGGCCGTCGAAGGTGAACCCATGCTCCCATAGACATGATCAAATGTAAACGAATGTGTGCCTATTTGAACCTGCACCATCAGCTTAATTGCCTTAGAAGTGCAATCACAAAATTTGGACTAGTCTCATAGTATGGAGGAGACCAGAAAGGAACAAAACAAAATATCCGACACCAGAAATTGGCCGCAAAAACTTTCCCATCACAGAATGACCATTCAACCTTTTTCACTGAAATTTTATCAAACCAATTTCGAGAAAACAAAATAGCCAAATAAGGAAATGGGAGGTGGTCACTTTTCTGGGCTTTCTGCACTCCTCCCTTCATTCCACCCAAAAACACTACAACTCACAGTGACAGGTCAACAAAAAAACAAAAAAACCATGACACTCTGGTAATTTCCCCGTTTTAGTATTCAAAAAGAACTACCAACAGTGGGGAAAAAATGTTCCTCATGGTTCCCACTTCCCGCAGCTGCTGAGATCTAGATCTCCTTTCACTACTCAATCGATCACCACACCAAGAAAGATGAAAACTTTCTGACAATTACTCACTGGAAACCAGCTGACCGAACCAACCCACCTTGTGCTTCTTCCATATTTACTGTTACCTTTGGCGGGCATTAAGTTCAGGGGCAGTAAATAAAGGGAACAGACACTCTAGACGAAATGCCGTACCTGAGGTTTCCCAGGGACGACAGTGACGCAATCTTTACATCCTTGAGCTTTCTCGTCGGCGATGAGCGGTCTGACGTGTACTGCTACTTTCACACAACAATCCTCCCCTCCTACACCGCTGGGAGAAGAAACAGGAGAAGGAGACGGCGGAGTGTCCATTACAGACTCCCAAATGCTAGAGCGGCAGAAAATTCAAGTAGCAGTGAACCCAGACCATAAAGTTTGCAACTTTAGTGAATAATCACCAGACCCTTGTCCTGAATTCAGACCGAAAATGTGAAAAACAAGAAGTAGGGGAAGAAGAGAGTAAGAGCAGCAGCTAAAGAACGGGGAAATTTTGGGAAGTGGGTAATTTCTAGGAAGAGGAAAAAGAGAGGCAATGTGAAAAAGGGAGGAGGGAGAGAGAGAGGTGTAGAAAGTGATAGGGGTAGTTGAGGGAAATTAAGAATATAGGATTTGAGAGGAGTGTGTAGAAATTTAGAATGTAGATATACGGAGAGGGAGAAGGGGAAAGATTGAATTACAGGCAGAAGAAGAAGAAGAAGAAGAAAGGGGGAAGAGAAGTAGTAGGAGTAAGGCTGCAGGGGCAGGCAACTGTAACAACAGCAACGACACCAACAGCCACTATCATTTTCCTTTTCATTCACTCACTCACTTCCTTGATATCTAACTTTGTTCTTCCTCCTCACCAGTCCACCACCCACTTCCAGCCTTCAATTCAATACCTTCCTATTCCTACTATTGTTGTTGCTTTGCTTCCTGGTGCTGCTGTCCTGAGGCTGTGAAGTAACTAACTAATGTTGCTTGTTTATTGGTAAAAATGGCCAAAAGTACTTTGAGCACACTCTTCCCCAAACTACCCCTATCCTCCCTCCTCGTCCTGTGTCTCTCATTCAACGACTTTCTCTTTTTACCTTTTTATGCCTAACCGAACTGATGAAATGCGGCCGATAATGCCCAGTCTATGTGGTCATCTTTTTTTGACAAGAATGTGGTCATCTTTTGTTGCTCCATTTTGTCCTCTTTTCACTACTATTTCCTAATGTTCAAGAAAATGCTAGACGTAAGGCGAAAGTTAAGGTTCTGCCTTGCGTCTAGCACGTTTAGGCGTCATTTAAGCGTGTCTAAGCGTTAGAAGTAAACATAGCAAAATATCTCACACTTTTATTGGATCACAATTTTATAAATCAATATCATTGCATCTACCTCTCATTTCTAAACTTTTATCAACAACACATGATAAAACATAAAACATAGTGTGGAGAAGCCTACTCCTCCATTTCTACTGTTACATTAGGTGATTTGTTTGGTGTATTTACAAAGCGATTCATTTGACTAGATATAAATCTTCGACAAATGTAGATATTTTATAATATAGACATTTTCAAATATATTGTTTGTCAAAAAGTTTTTTTAGAAGGGTCATTTTTCAATGAGCAATTTGTATAACGTTATCATTTTGCTCTTAAAAGTTTTTTTAGAAGGGTCATTTTAGATGGTGTTTTGTGAAGGGTTTGTAGCGGGTGGGTTTTACAGGTGATGCTATGAGGTCTATGTTAAAATCGCCGAAGGCACGATGACAGATGAACGTGGTGGAACAATTTTAGAGGAAATTCAATTAATGCATATGTCCTTTCATAAATGGGTTATAGGTATTATGCCCCTCTACTATGACGTTTTATCAAACATGCCCCTCTACTATTTTTTATATCAAACATGCCCTTATGTTAAAATTTTCATTGAAAAAATCGTCAATCATGATTGAACGGAGATTTAGACGACCCGACATCGGCAAATGAGAGAGAAAATGTCAGTTTTATCTCCCGTTGTATTTCTCTGGGTGTTTTCAAAGTGAAATTATTTGAATTATTTGGCTCTACAAAAGACAAAAAAAAAAAAAAATTAAAAGTGAAATTATTAGGGATATTTTAGACATATGTGCCGCCCAAACCAAAGTTCGACCTTGGTTAACGGTTTTTTTATGCAAATTTAAACAAAAGGGCATGTTTGATCATTTTTACAAAGTATAGGGGCATGTTTGATGTAAAAAATAGTAGAAGGGCATGTTTGATAAAACGTCATAGTAGAGGGGCATATTATACCTATAACCCTTCATAAATTTAATGTTAGATTGTTGGTCATAGTCGTAACTTGATGGTTCATTTTTGGGTAAATGTCAAATTTGGTAATTGGGTTTACTAAAATGTGCATGTTTAGTCACTGAAAAAAATTAATATAAATTTTGGTCACTTGAATTAGTAAAATGGTCCATGTTTAGTCACTCTCCGTTAACTTTGGCTGATGTGGCAGTCAACCCTAACAATTGACTGTTAAATGTATGACGTGGCAATTAAAAAATTAAAAATAAATAAATTTTTTAATATTTCTACATCATTAAAATAATAAATAAAACCAAATTGGAACTCTTGGGCAACTCATGCTTGAACACCACCGTCCTGGGCACCATGTAGAGCGGCATCTTCGCCTTGCACAACTCAATCATCGACTTCTCCGTCATCCCCGTCGCCGCGCCCTGCTTTAAACTCACAAACGCGCATAGTGTCTCCCTCCAGTACTCGTCTGGCCGAGCCACCGCCGCTACCTCATTCACCGTCGGGTGCTTGTACAACTCTTACTCCACCCTCCATGCTGCTAATATTCTCCCCTCCGCTAATTATCACGTCCTTGGACCAGTCCCGAATCTCCAAGTACCTGTCCGGATGCATCACCTCGACGTCTCCGGTGAAAAACTATAGGAGTTTTATGAATAGTAACTTGTAAGAACTTGTATTATTATGAAACCACAAAGGGGTTTATATAGACTACATGACTTGGACAATAAGTAAGAGAACCATAATAATTGTAATACTAGAAGCAATATAGTCAAAAGCTACCTTTAAAGTCTAAAAGTCTACGCTTTTACGCTTTGGAACCCCCCAAATATTGTAGCTTTTGTTCAAAAAACCTTTTGCACCAAAAGTCCAAGTAAAAGCCCTCAAGCCCAGTAAAAGCCTTAGAAGCTAGCTTTTGACCGCTTCTTTACGCTTTTGATATTCGAGTATGATGATCATATTTGGTCGTGTTTGGTTCAATTTATTGGACAAAAGAGAAAAATGATGCGGCCTTATTTGTTTTTTAGTCGGGTTATCCTTTCAGTCTTTGCTATTATGAATTTATCATCCCTAATTCACCGCCATTTTTCCACATTCTCGTACTTTCTCTGCCTCCAAAACCACATGCCACATCCAAAGTCCTGCTTCCAACGCTTTTCCCTTAGTTTCCCGCAACATGCATCCAACTTCCTCTTAGTAGGCTCCCATAACTTGGACATCTTCACTCGATGCATCAACCCTTCCCATCCCTATAACTCCTATCCACCCCTATGACTATGTTGTCATCAAAGCTCATCTCCTTCAACTTCACATTTGCCGCCACTTTGACTTATTAGTGGAGCTTGTTTATAACCCATATAGCTTCATCATTTTTTCTAGAAAGCAAGAGGAAGGTGGTGAATTCTTGTTTAAATTCCTATTAATTTAGTTTATGTGTGTGAGAGTAATATGTTAAATATGAGCTAGTTCATCTCTGTGTTCATATTTTGCATAATACAAGTTATGTTATAATATTTCTATTAAAACTATATGATGTGCAAAAGTTTACGCTTTCACGCTTCACGTTTGCGCTTCCGCTTTTACCCATCATTTCGCTTTTACCTAGAAGCTAGACTTTGACTGCATTGACTAGAAGGACACGGAAATACTAAGACTTATACTAGAAGGACAAGGAAATATAAGATTATTCCTAATCTATCTCTAACACGCCCCCACAAGATGATGGTATGAAAAACAACATCGATCTTGACCAAAATACGTTAATCTTGAAGAACACCCCCCCAAAATGTGATGGTGAAGAATGTGATTCGAACTCTTGTGCTTGAAAAGTGAATCTAACTAACCGTCGTCTTGGAGAAGAAGAAATCATCGAACTTGCAATGCATATGTTGCAACGAAACTCACTCGCCATCAAAAGTGGACTAGGATCGAGATGAATTAATTGGTTTTAACGATACCAATAAACATAAACTGGTGTAGGACACGACTGATTCATCCAAATTACTGTTGTTGGAGAAGCTTTCTTCATTCCATACCCGCATAGAAGATATGATTGGAGATTGACTGTGAACTCCATACCATACAAACTCTTGAGCAATCTGAAAAGAAAATTATGATAGGCCGGCTGTAGAAACCGGATCGTGATATCCAAAAATAGGACAATAGTGGTCGATTTACAAAGCACGCAAGAATCGGCAACTCAAAATAATGATGATGACATGTGATTGATGAATGCTTTGGGTAGTGGTATATGGATGCTTGGGCACTGCTGGGGACGTGGGAGCGGGGAAACCATTAGGAAATGATTGAGTAAAAAACTAATAATTAACTAGGACCACGGGAAGGAAAAACAAGGCCAATAAGGACAATAGTTATAAATTAGTAATAGGGAATGCAAGGGGACTAACTGGCGGAAGGGAAAAAGCGACTGGGTGAGTGAGGGCTCATCCTGCCGGCGAAAGAAAATAAAGATTTATGGTCCTGGATCAGTAGGCTGTTAAGCAAGAGGCTCTGATACCAAATAGGAGTTTTATGAATAGTAACTTGTATTATTATGAAACCACAAAGGGGTTTATATAGACTACAAAACTTGGACAATAAGTAAGACAACCACAATAATTGTAATACTAGAAGGAAACGGAAATACTAAGACTTATACTAGAAGGACAAGAAAATATAAGATTATTCATAATCTATCTCTATCAAAAACCACCCATCCTTCGTCATACACATGGCCATCCCGACTGGATCTTTCAAATAGCCCAATATCACGCACCCCCCCTGAAGGACCACCTCAACAATCTCCGACTCGTCCCGCTTCACGCTCTCTCCCGAATCTGAATCTACCACCCCCACCTCTATGAACCCGGCGGTCCTCGCCGCTTGCCTCGATTTCAGCCTCGCCCTCTCTGTCGTTCGGTATCAATCCCAATCCTTCTTCCACGCGCACGACACCACCATCCCCCGCCATCTCCGTCAACCCGTACCCGTGCCCCACCACGAATCCGAGCGACTCGGTCCTCAGCAGTCAGCAGCACGGTGGTGGGAGGAGTATTTGAAGAAGTTTTTTTTATTATTATTTTAATGATGTGGAAATATTAAAAAAATATTAATTTTTTAATTGTCACGTCAGACATTTAACGGTCAACTGTTAGGGTTGACTGTCATATCAGATAAAGTTAACGGAGAGTGACTAAATATGGACTGTTTCACTAATTCGAGTGACCAAAATTGATATTAATTTTTCAATGAGTAAACATGACACATTTTAGTAAACCCAATGACCAAACTTGGCATTTACCCATTCATTTTTATTGAGGGAGCAACTCCATTTTTACCTTGAGATCCAATTAATTCGTTCGAAATGCTCATCTAACCGAGCCCAAACTTTCACTTAGAAGAACTTGACAATAAGCGAGAATGGTAAAAGAGGAGAGGAGAGAGAGGTTGAGGTTGGGAGGGAGGGAGGGAGGGAGGGAGGCATTAGGCATCTCAAGGGAGAAAAGAGAAAGAAAAGTACACGTGATAGCAGAATCATGACAACCACCGGCCACTGGCGATTCTGATTGTCAGAATTTGGAGCACGAGGGGGCCGGATTGGAAGCAGCAGCACAACTGGATTGTTTTCTCACTCTTCATTCTCCGTACTTTCTTCTACCCTTCTGCTATTATTACATTCATAGGCCATCTCCTTACTATAACAGAACATTAATACATGCACATAGGCCATCTCCGCCCGCGATAAGGCGTGACATCGCCGCCTAGTATATACAAAAACTTCTCCTTTCATTTCTTCCCTCTTTTTCATCGTGTACATGATTTTCTTTCTTGGGGCTATTAGAAGGTACAATTATTTGGGTACAACCTCCTCACCTCCTTCTATCCTCCTCAACTATCTACATATCTAGGGATCACAATGATACAACCAAATTTAATGGATTATTAGCAGCTTCGTCTGTAACTAAGTGGGACATGCACAGTGAAGCAATAATACAGTAAGTAGTTTCTAGAAATGTAGAGATGGTGTCCTTGTGAGCATGAAGAATTAGGACAAGAAAAGAGAGGGGTTGAATCTCTTGTCCTGGCCCGAAAGCGTTGGAAGGAAGAAAGAAAGGGCAGGAACAGTGACTGTGAGAGAAGCAAAGAGAATACTTTTGGGTCCCGATGTCCTATCCTTGCTGGCATATCTAATTTATCACCCTCCTGGGCCCTGGCCTCCCATCCTCTATTTCACATTTCATGATTATCAATTTAATATATCGATAATTCTGCAGATAATTATTATTGTGCGCATTCAACGACGATGAA